AAATTCCAGCCACAACCACCAATTTGCAAACTACCACCTAATCAGAAGAAAACTAAAATCAGCAAAGAATACTACCATACACACTGCACACAACTGGATCAAAGCTACATCTCATAAATGGTGTAGTGTGAGGCTTGTACACGTTTGCACTCTGGGTCCAACTAGAATCCAAGGTAACAAAAGCAAACATTTTCCAAATTGATGTTCCAACCATCAGCAACACTTTCAACCTGGTGCACCAGCATTCCAGGAGTCTATCATCAAAAGCCAAGCTTCATTCAGACTTTGTTTTGTTTGTAGAAATGAAAAGTAAAACATATTTCTGACACTCAAATCCACAAGCAACAAAATGACTTTAAAAAAATGATCAGTGACAAAAAAGAGACTCCAGCCCAGAATTATAGCATCTACAATCACCATTTTCCTAGGAATGAAGAAATACAATTTATTTAAGTATCATGACAACCAATTTCAAATTTGCTTTTGTCTTCAGACTTTTGAGGTGTTAGGCTGGACATTCTTCCCAGTGGTTTGTAGTTTTGAAAAGCCAAACTCAATTTTGTTTATTATGTCCATTTCAGAACAGGCTCATTTGAAATTAAAAACTACCTTCAATAGCATGTGACTTTAAGTAGTGAAATCATTGCAGAAATTTTCACGGAATTCTGCTGTTGGAAGGTATACTCTAAATTGAAATGTAGTTTCTTAACTGGGTTCAAAGCGGGAGGCTCCAGGAAGGAGAGGCACAGATCCTTAAATTGTTTTAGCCAGAAGTGCAAAAATAATCTAACCGTGCAAACCAAACCGTTAAGATAACCACTTAAAATCTTTTGGTGTGAATGATGCTGCATATTGCAACGTATGAAAGGATACATCAAAAACAGCTGTTTTTTTGGAAGCGGGTGTCTGACAAATCAGGTACTAGATTGTCCAACACCTCAGTCAAAAAGACAATTACACAGTATTCATGTAACCTGTTCTTCAGTAATTATGTTGGCATCGCTCAGAGTTTTAAACAAGCAGTGAATAACAGGAGTAGTTACATAAATTGGACAATATCTAGCATAGAACAGATAATCAAACTTAAATCAAAGTACAAAAAAAAACTGATGCTCAGATAATGAAATAATCAGTCATGTTAATAGACTTCTCAGTTATCCACCTGAGGTAGGATGGGATAAGAAGAACAAAAGATTCAGTTCCTTTGACCTGACCTGCAGTATCATTTCAGTGGGCACAGAAGTCAATGGCTTTAAGTAGAAAGGTGCAGAAACATTTCAAAGTTCAATCAAAATGGAAACGGTGAGCAGTAGCCAGGGTCCTTCTCTATTTTATGTAACAGCGTTGCAATGGTGAAAAACATTGTGCCGCCATGGGTGCATATCCTTAGACAAAAGATTTCCAGGCTGGTGAGGACTCAACGTGGGGATGATCTTACAGGTGCACTTTATACACATCTTTCACTGTCCAAGCTCGGAAGAATTACCTGAAGAGAAAATTAGGGAAACACTTCATGTTTTGTCATTGTGTGCTGTCCGACATGTTAAATGGTCAGTATATTAGGAGCCATGGAGCCTTAATTAAAACTTTACTAAAGCGAAGCAGTGAGAAAAAGTACCGACGTCAGGTACACTGGTTCACATTCCAGGAAAGAAAATGAGGAAGTGTTTCAACAGCCAACTAACCACAGCACTGGAATTGATCTTAATAGACGATGACGAGACAGAACTTCTGTTTTGTACAAGTCCGTTAATATAACTTAATACAGCAGTAACTATTTAGACATCAATATTATACCACAGCAAAGACAACAATATCAATATACTCCTCGATAAAATTAAATGAAACAATAATTTATCACACTGGAATGTGTTCCACCTCAAGATTTCTTTGTGAATCCTTTCTTTCTTCGAATACCATGAATTGTCACTGCCACCACAGTTATTATATAACACACACATACACAATAGAAGATCAGGGCTTAACAAATATCTCCATTACATTAAAAACAATATGAACCAAAATGAATGTGCCTTTTCACGGCTCTTAAAAAAGTGAAACCATTGATTTATGTTGTGCCACTCAATGAGAAAGACATCTTAAACCTGAGCCAAACAACGTTTCTTCTGAAAGAAGAAAATTATCCTAGGCAATCAATATCTAGGCAAGCACAGTCTGTCCATGCTCCTCAGTAAGAGGAATGAATGGGGCGCACTGAGTGGTTTCAGTATGGGTTAGTCTGTCTCCAACAGGGTGGAACACACACTCAATACGATTCCAGAGGTTGATAATACACCTATGTTCAAAGGGATAGAGATCAAGAGCCACAATTGCATTCTTGCTTGCTTTTAACAATTGGATAATATAGAGAGTATATACCTCCTCCTGTCAGCACCAATGCCTGTAGAATATCAGAGAGCGAGACAATCCCCTTTACCACATCATGATCATCAACTACCACTAACCGATGAACCTACAAACAGGAAAAGACCTGATAAGTAACAAGTAGCTATTGTGAAGAATCTCTGAAATAGATAAGAAAACTGGTTAATTTCATGACAAGTTAATGCTTTTAGCAATAGTTTACCAGCTCTTTTCACTAGACTAAAAATAAAAGTAGATTTCACAAATCTTAACAGTTCAGTTCAATTTCTATTCTGCCACTACCCTCCCCTCCCCCACCCAACTGCCTCAAGGTAGCGACACATTGCAGTGCTTTGGAGGAAGGAACCATATGTGGGCCTCCACAATGCAGAGGATACTGGGCAGATATTAGATTTTCAAGGAGAAAACCAACAGATTGGAACTGGGAGGAACAACCATGGCTAAGCTTGGGAGCTACCAAGTTGCTTTGTTTTTATTTTCAGTTCATCAGTGCTGGAAAGGATGTGCTTCCTGACTAGCTGTAACCTCCCATGGATACATCTGTGTAAGGCAGTATCACAAATCTTCAAAGATAAAGAAACTACCGTCATGTTGGGGCTTTGAAATTTGAGATTTTACCACTTGCTGCTCAATGAGGTGAAAGATACCTACGCATGAGTTTTAACTTCAGTTATTAATGAGGCATTCTTTTTGCTATGCTGCTGGAATGGCTGCTCTGTTGAAGTCTCCAACAAAATCAACAATGTTCTCTATTGGTACATCAAAGCCTAAAAAAACTCAAAGATTTAACCTGAAATTTCACAGAAAGGAAAATGAAATAAATAGAAACCAAAAAATAAATCTCACTTCTACCACAACAGAATCTGGAAAAGAGACTGCAATATTTATGCCTAATACTAAAGGTGGAAAGAGTACTTGATTTTTAATCAAGAGTTTCAAACAATAATGGACTTTCCACCTCTGGTGCTGTCTTATGTAGGGATTCCTTCTATCACAACAAGTTATCAACGGGATCCTTATGGACGGTTTGTTCCTGTGCTCAGAGACATTTTAGGTGGGTGGTGGGGGTGAAATGAGATTGAAACAGTTTCAGTCTCTCACTTACTCAAATTAAAAATTGGGGAAAAAAATTGAAGTTTGATTTCCTATAAATCCACTAAAATTGCTAATACATAAGGAAATGTAATCACAGAAGCCAATTATTTTGTGCACTGGGTACTTCCTTTCAGAGAAGGAAGAAACAAAAACTGCAAATACAACAACTTGCATTTACCTATCCCCTTTAACATGAGAAAATATCTCAATGCACTTCACAGAAATGTCAAAATTCAATATGAAGCCACCCAAGGAGATACTAGGGCCAAAGAGTAAAAGCCTGGTAAAGTGTGTTACATTTTAAAGAGTGTGTTAAAGGCATATAACAAGACAAAAATGCACAGTAAAACCAAACAACTGCAAAATGAAAAGTGATTTTGCATTTTGGATGCAAACCCATCAGCTCGGTTTTGATGAAAAGCCAATGCCTGGAATATTTGTCTTATCGCTTGACAGATATTATAGTGAAGGACCACCATTTTCAGTTTACTTTAAATAAAGTACAGCCATTATGTGTTATTTCTTCCACTCATGCTGACACCCTTCATTTGCAACACACCAAATGGCAATTAACTCATGATGAAAAACAAAGCTTTCCTATTTCAGTTTTTGGACAGAAGGTCAAAGCACACATCTCACAGCAGCACCTCCATTTGGAACCATGCTTGTGATGCTCCTGCTTGTAGATTCCAGTTGAAAAGGGTTAATGCAACAGCAGCAGTAACAAAAGCAGCTGGTTGTCTTCAACGAGCTTCAATTTGCACCAAATTTTACAGTTTTCTTGGAGCAGTTTAATAATGAATTAGCTCGTTAAAACAAAAATGCTTGAGTGTAAGAGCTCTTGCAGAAAGAAAACGTGCAGGCAACAGAGCTGCTGAGGATGTGGTGTGCACAATTTAAAATTCTCTGCACCACTTAGGAGGTTACTGCAAAGGCTCAGTGCTTGCCCCAGTGATTCAAACCTGGAAGATCCCAAGTTCAATTGCCAGTTTGTATTGTGGGAGCTGGGAGTGACCAATTTTGCTCCCAGTGCTTCCAGATGGAGTGGGAGAGTGAGAAACAAGCCAGGGTTTCCACTCCTACCCACTATCCAAATGACCGTGTCTACAGTCACACAGAAAGAGTGATGAACTGGAAGTGTCCAGTGGTCACAGGACTATATTCCAAAATAATTAGCATTTTCTGGGGAGGAGGCAAGTGGGTGAATGAAAAGACAATTTAGAACAGGGCTGATATGCCACTGACCCATCATTTTAAGCAGTAACGGATTTATTAGTTGTCTTTTTAAAAAGTTCCTTTTCCTGTACCTCTGCCTCCACAAGACGGTTGATAATTGTCTCGAGGGTTTCATGCTTGTAACACTTCAGTACCCCTTCGAAGTACTGAGAGCGGTGCAGCAGCGCTTTTGTTACAGTAATATCCAGGTTGTTGTAGGTCTTTTCTGCAGCAAGGTTCTAAAGCAGAAACATTTAATTAGGGAATGGTCTCAGAGCAATAGGGAAGAATATTTGAATATATAAATGCTGCTGCAAGATACTTACAATGACGTCAAATTTAGAATAGATATCCCCGACTCGCCCTATAGATATAGGGAAAGACAGGAGCATGGTTAACATAACACATTGGAAATAGAATATTTAGGTGCAATTAAATTGAACAGAGCAAAGAATTTATCTGGCTTCTTTACTCACTAGCAAAATAGTAAGCAAGTGAATCTCTCTGAACTAGAACTGTCTTCACTATTCAAGTGGTGTAATGTAGATGTTCCATAAGGAAAGTTACTGTTCTTATGATTTATCCATTTAGGCTAGATTTGTTTATCCCAGCAGAGAAAGATAAACTTGACTAAATTGCAGTCAAATGCACTGAGGCTATCCAGTCTGTTTTCACCTTTTGACTGATAATCCATATTGATGCAGATTTTACTGTCCTGACCAGCCAACCTCAACAAGTGATGTTTAACTGTAAATAAAGTATTTATAAAAGAAAAAAAGTTAAAAGGGCATTGAAACCAAATTTCACTACATTAGTAAAAACTGCTTGGTTATTCTTGAGAAATTGTGGTGTTGATCGACAGTTACCGCTAACCTTTGATGTGATCTGCTCTACTTGTGTGAGCTAGTGGCACAACCAAGTGTGCTGAGATGGCCAATGAAAATAAGAATTTAATTTTACCAGATTCATCCACAACAGGCAACGCAGATACTCTTTTTTCCACAAAGATTCCCAAAGCCACATAAATGGGAGTGTTTTTGTTCACCACTGCAATGTTCTTGTATGTTCCAATGTTCAACTCTTCCAACGTTTTAGACATGAAATCTGGTTTGGGCATCTCTGAGATCTACGATAATAGGTTAAGAAACACAGCAAACACTTACATAACATCCAAGAATCAAAACAAATGGAGTTAGGCCAACTGACAAGCATAAAGTTGCAAATGATTTTGAATTAGATTTTTAAATGTACTTTTCGAAAGTAACACAATAAAACTGATGCAGCTTTCTATTCCTCAATCTGGAATAAGCCTCTTTCTACCTCCCCTCTGCCCACCAAATAGCAAAGAACCTTTTAAACCTGCCACTGCAGCTCAGTAGCAGGCTTTTTAACCACAAGGTTCTGGGTTCAAGTCCCATTTCAGGGCTTGAACACCAAAATCAAGTCTAGTGCAGTACCTGCTGACATCGCCATAAGGCGCTCAGCTCAGTGCACGTACCCCTGCCACTACTGCTGTGACGTCATTCTGTCTAGTTCGTTGATATCTGCTGTGCTGATTTGGTTGCCACCATGTTCATTTTGCTGGCTGGGTGATTCACAAAGCATGTTGCTGGGTTGTCAGGTCATAGCCTTACATTTATTTAGTCATGGCTTTTATTGCCTCATCGTACTCCTCACGTCACTTGAAACATATGATTGTCATCAGGCTAGAGGGAGACAGTTATTTGGTCCCAATATAGGCTCTGGATAAATCTCAACTTTATCCTGTTAATATCACATTTCAGCAATACGCTTACTAGCTTTTAGCAAAAATCATGGTCTATGAAGACTAGGTAAATATTCTCATTTACTTCTAGATATTTATCAAAAATTGTTGCTAGATTAAATATTCCCTCTGTTGTCCCAACTCCAGGTCTGTGTCCAGAGGGTGCTTCACCAATTTCTGGTTCAAATGTGTTAATATTTCTTTCAATTACGATTTTCAAGATCATTTTAATAAGATGACTTATTAAGTTTATAGCTCCAAAATGACTGCACACCATTGCTTTCGGTTTCTTAGGTATTTTCACAAATAACGAATATCTGAAGTCACATGGAATATACCTTTTGGTGCGTAATTGATCACAGATTTCTGTTATCACTTCTCAGTCTGTTTCTCCAAAGATTTTTACATATTCTGTTGTATTTTTCCATCTGTGCCTGGATCTTTTCCTGCATTCAGTTTCAAAGCATATTTTACCTCAGGCATAAGATTTAGCTCATAGTTTGCTTCTATTGCTATAGGTCTCCCTTGGTTTGGATCATTGTACAATCCATTTGTATATTCTGTCCATCTTTTTACTGCTGTGTTCCTTTTAAACAACATTTTGTTCTCCAATGGACCTACATCTGTTATTCTCAGCATGTCAAAGATTTCAATTCTGGGGGTTAAATTCTCATTTCAGGATTTCTTTCTAGCATTAATGCTTTGTCACATATCTCATTACACCACTTCAATTTAGCCTGCCAACATGCATTCTTGATTGTTTCAACATTGAAAAGAAAGTCAGGGGTGTTTCTTTTCTTTGTTCTTCCTATCATCATTTCTTATCTCTTTTACTTTTCTGTTGTTCTTGGAATTCCGTTTGTTCAATCCACAATCCAGAGATGTTCACATTTCGTTTTAACTTGAAGAGCAAACGCCTCCGACATTGTCACCCTTCAACATGTCGAAGTCCAAATGATTGTACGTCATTTTCTTTTTGGTGTTTTAAGTTTTGCCATAAGGAGACAAAGTGATCCGAATTAATATCTACATCAGATACACAAGAACGTTCTTTATACTGTTTCTAAAATGTTGTTTCACAGACAGAATATAATTTGATTTCTAACATTCAGAGAATCAGATAAATGCCCGGGGTAAAAATTGGAGACAAGAACATAAACTTGCGATATGCTGATCACACAGTACTACTTGCAGAACCAGGAGGCCCTACAAAATATCACATGTCAAGTAAAATTTAGAAGTGTAGAATCTCTATTGTTTTTGTCTTTTTGGTGTTCGTACTTAACGGTAGTTAGAAGGAATACATTAGAAGAAAGTAAATTAGAGATTGACATGAATGCTCTCAGACCGGAACAAGTAGATATCGTTCATCCTAACTGGACAAACGATACAGAAGTTAGGAGGAGGAGGAGAAGAGACATGATGTGTTAACAACAGGAAAACTCAAGCTTGAAACAAGGGGGTTAAAAAAAAAAACTTAAGATGCTACATTCTATCCACTTTGCCATCGACCGCAGAAACCTGACAAGGTAAAATCTATGGAAGAAAGTAGAAACCTATGAAATGTGGATGTTAAGACATATGCTAAAAGTTTTATGTACAGATTATAAGTTAAAAGCAGAGGCACCTGCAATCACAAGAGGAAAATGACTCTTAAAAAGTGATGCTGAGTAAAGAAAACGTTGGTATTTCAGCTGTTTATCAGAGCTGATAAGCTAGAGATCTCTTCCTAAGGGGAAAAAGTGAAAGGGAACAGAAAGAGGGGTTAACCTAAGCAGAATTGGATGACAGATGTCACAGAGCAATTGTAGAGGAGCTACAGTTGATTCGTAAGGATGGTGCAAGACAGACAAGTGCGAAATACCATGCCAGCACGTCACCTGGCAGGAGTGGACACAAGTAGCAGCAGACAGATTTGAATAATGGAAGAAAATAGATGGGTTGATAACCCCTTCCCATCACTCAAGCCTGGCTGATATGTCTGTAGAAAAGTCAGTGATCTAGACCATCTTTGTTGAAGATAAAATGGAGGAGGGCAGTTATCTAAAAGGGGTGGCACTGTGGCTCAGTGGTTAGCACTGCTGCCTCACAGCGCCAGGGACCCAGGTTCGATTCCAGCCTTGGGTGACTGTCTGTGTGGAGTTTGCACATTCTCCCAGTGACTGTGTGGGTTTCTTCCGGGTGCTCCGGTTTCCTCCCACAGTCCAAAGATGTGTAGGTTAGGGTGGATTGGCCATGCTAAATTGCCTGCAGTGCCCAGGGATGTGTAGGTTAGGTGGGTTAGCTGTGGGAAATGCAGGGTTACAGGGATAGGGTAAGGAGTTGGGTCTGGATGGGATGCTATTTGGAGGGTTGGTGTGGACTTGATGGGCCGAATGACCTGCTTCCACACTGTAGGGATTCTATGATTCAAACTGCAATGTACAGGTTTCAAATTAATTTACACGTGGGATAGCTCTACAGAAGGTCCGTGGTGCAACACTTCAAGGAGCTCTAAATCTAATAAGTATATTCCAGAACACTGCACAAATGCTAACCAATTTTGCCACCTCACGAGATAGGCAGTACAAAGCATAGAGCTGAAGATCAGAGGAACATCTTAGTGTTTAGATGATGTACTGTGATCCTAAAGATATATTTCCCAATGAGTTCAAACAATTTCTAACAGCAACTAAGGCACTAGTCAAATGAGAAGAATGCAATTATTTGACCCCAACCACCAGAGAAACTATTCAGAATCTCTGATATGAACCTGCACAGTTGCAAAAATCACATATTGCTTTACTTCCCCAGCAACAAGGCTAACTGAGCTTAATAATGGATTGTTTTATCCAAAGCTAAAGGGAAATAATATAACACAAACGTTTCTGGAGACAACGTGGGAGCTCGGCTTACACTGCAGTATAAAAGAGTTCTCTTGGTAGCCCTGTGCTTCAGGTTTAGAAGAAATTTTGCTCAGTGATGTACCCTTGCCTCTAAATAATGAAAGAACACTAATGCCATGACACAATTTCAATGGTGTTACTTAATTCCTTAGATGCCAAGATCAGATCTCTGATGCAGCAGTACTCATTAATGAGCCATATCAGAATGAGTTCAGTGAAAAATGATTTAAATTTCAATGTTACTTCTGCTCTAAGTTTAAAAACCGCTAACAAAAAAGATGAGACCCAAAGCTTTTGATGTGTGGTTTCTGACATTTTAAAAGTAGGCTCTTGTGTGGGTGACCAAATTCACCTTGCTTTTCTGGTCTGAGATACTTACAAAGAGTTTGAGAAACTTCAGGATGCGCTTGTGTGTTAGAATGTAGAGTGTGTTCCCGGTCAATGGATCGACGACTGGAAGACGGTGAATTTTGTTCTTAATTAGTGATGAAACTGCATCGTACAAGCTGCAATAATGAAAAAGATCGAGAAGCATGTTTTGGCATCGCACGACGCAAGGATTCATTTAAGTTCAGAATGGTCATTACAACTTTTAAAGCATGGACGAATAAAAATTAGAAAAGGGATTTCTCATCAAGAATAAATAACATTGTAATCAACTAGAATTAGGACAGGAGTTTCAGGACTATGACACAGTGACAGTTAAGGGTCAGCAATATAGTTCCAAGTCCAAGTGGAGAGAGACTCGGAGGGAACTTGCAGATGGCTGTGCTCCCATACATCTGCTGCACTTGGCCTTGGAGGTGGCAGTGGTTGCAGGTTTGGAAGGTACTGTCCAAGGAGTCTCAGCGATTTGCTGCAGTGCATCACTGGATGGTATATACTGCTGCCGCTGTGTGTCGATGATGGAGGGACTGAATATTTAAGATGGCGAATGGTGTGCCACACGTCTATGCTATCAGACATTGACTTCAGTAAGAAATGAAAGAATACAACCTAAAGCCAAACTATTTTACACTGATCCAGTCTAATTAAATTTTGATGCATAAACTCAAATACAATCTTAAGGGTTTTCACGTTTTAAGTTACCTTACACTCTGCTTTGAATTATTTTTCTCTTCCACATACTCCTAAAAAGCAATCTAAAAACCAAGATCCCTCCCATCCTGCATCTTTGGTCTCTCTCCCCATTGCCTCCCTCCCTACTCCATTCCATCCCTGGCCTCCCTGCTTGCCCTGATCCCTCTCATTCCCAGTGTCCCTCCACATCCCACCACCTCGTCCTTGGCCTCTCTCCCTACCCCATCCCCAACCTCTCTCCCTCTTCACTTCACCCCACCTCCTCCTGTTCTGGCCTCGCTCCGAACTCTTCCCCCAC